AAACAGTACAAATACTTGTTAAACTAGCTATCCCCGTGCTAGCAAACTACTAGTGAGCGTCACTTAGAACAACAGAGATATTTGACAATTTTTCTTGTAATCCACTACTTTTCTATAGTGTCTGGGAGTTATATCCAGATAACGCGGCTAAAAAGAGCTCATACAAGGGAGTTATTTGCCCACGATACATCGTAGAAAGCCCAAGGAGAAGAATATTGTTGTCTGTTATAGCAGAAAAAATTTTTCACAGGTCGGATTATTGTAAAAAAAGTGGTCAGAGGATCGACGAGAAGAGTTGCCCTGTGTTTTTTAATATATTTGTAATTAACTCCAATAAGAGCTTTATATATAGTATGACAAACCGAAAGACTATTATTAAAACAATAATTGAACTGTAAGTACTTTCTATTAGTTGCAGTAACTTTTTTCATATTTTCATTTTTTTGAAAAGCTATTGGCTATTCTTTAACAACTAAATCACATATATTTTTGCTTAAGCTTTTAAATTCTATTCGATGTACAAGAAAACGTTTATATCTGATTTTTTCAAAGTACTTAGAGTGACATGTACATTTTCCATTTTTAAAAAATGTTTTACTTTTAATTTTAAGTCATTATAAGCTTTGTTTACAATATAATTATCAGGGTTATCTATATATTCAAAACTATTTAGATATATTTTATTAGAGCTATTAAAGCTTTTATCATTATCAGATTCTAATTTAATTTCATTATCTGATATAATTAGTTCACTTTCAGAGCTTGAATCTTCAACAAAAAATGTATCATTTAGCTCTGCTAAAGCTGTTGAAATATCATCGTTTGCACTATCATTACTAAAATAAATACTATGTTCCATACTATAAGCTATAGTAGTACTATAAAGAATATAAATTAAAATTGATATGCCTTTTTTTTTTTTTTTTGTTACTAAAATTAAATTTATTCGATAACTTGAATGTAAATGAGTATGCAAGCATACCAATATACTTAAATTCAACTTAGAGTTCAAAAAAACTTAATTGACAAGTTTTAATATCTGCAAGATTCAAAAAAAGAACAATACCAAGTATATACATATCGATATGTATGAATTAAATTATATCACTTTCTAGATCTGTATATAAAGAACGATTAAATATGATCAAATATAATTTGAAAATATATAGCAATATATATATCATCTTCTGCATATTACTACTGTTTTAGATATAAAAATTTTCTTTTAAAATTTTGCCTTAAGTTGTATCTTCTAAAGCTAATAATCAATTAATTATAATTTTAGTACTTTGCAAAAAAATTGGTATAACTGTAGCCTTAACTTAAAAATGCATTGAAATTTTTATGAAAAATAAGAACTATCAACTTTTACTATATTTTTGTTTATTTATTATCAAGATTAAATTCAACAAACTTGTGTATTATACGATTTGTGTGTAATAATTTTCAAAATTAAATATGTAATAGTAATGATCTTTACTAAAAATAGCAACAAGAAGACCATATATATTTTTAAAGTTTGTACTAATACATTATAATCAAAAAATCATTTTTTTTAATAAATTAGACTATTAGACATATGATGGTAATAAAATCTTAAAATCCGATTAGTTGGCCCATCCTTCCCTTTTGCTGTGAGGGGTCCTATATACTAACTATAATAAAGATATAGCTATTTAAAAATTTTAAGAAGTAGTATTTAAGAAAAAGATATAATTTTTTTTAATATTAAAGAACTATACTCATCTCTAAAGAAGAAGTTTATTTATATTTATTAATAACAATATATATATATATTTTTTAACCTTTCAGTAATCATACTATAACTTTATTATAATAATAAAAAAATTTCTATATTACAATTTCTAAATCTAAGCTAATACTTTACCAAGTTGTAACTTATTCAGTTACTAAGTAGTATCTATATATAATTTGCTATAATTGTAATTGATGGTGGGTTCTTATGTAAATCTGTTAAATTGTGAAAACTTTTTATTATTAATCAAAAAAATTTAAGGTGTAATAGTAGTAGAAATCTAAATATAGAACAACATTTATTATTATTAATGAAATATTTAATTTGAATAAGAAATTAAACTGTTGTATAAATACCTACCTCAAGTTTAAATAAATGAGGTCGCAAAGTCAAAAGTTGATTTCATTTAACTTGAATGCACATCCCCTGCACAGGGGACAATGATTTTCTGCTGTGTTTAAGACTGTGTGATCAAGACAAATTCTGTGCTAATTTTTTAGAGTTTTTGTGTTGCCACTATAAGGATGTGAAAAGTCCGTTCGGTTTCCACAAGGACGCGCAGGCTTTTTCATAACATATTTCTATTGATGTAGTACTAGAGTTCTAATCCATTAACCATTTATCTATTGGATATCCAAAATCCGAAATCCAATGGATAATTGGATAAAATGGATTAAAAAGATGGATATCCGAATTATTCGATAAATTATTCGAATGATGCAAGAAGTGCATATTTTAATGAGTGTGAAGAAGTTACCGTTATTATAATAACGGTCATAGACGTTATCAGTTATCATATGATAACGATAGTGGACGTTATGATAACAGTCATGGACGTTATGATAACAGTCATGGACATTATGATAACGGTCGTGATATTATGAATAGTCAGATGTTATGATAAGAGTCGCGGACGTTATCTATTAACTATCAGTCAGGCGATATAGTACTTCTAGAAATTCATTATCAATAATATTTTATCTATTAATCTTCTTGTTGTCATTTAGAAATATTGCATCTGAGAATTTTTATTATAAGTTGTATTAAAGTATTTATTCAAATAAAAATTTAATCTAAAGTTTTTCATTAATATATGTATAGTTAACCTTTTCAGGTATTAATATTCAAGGATGTTTATTTTTTTAAACTTAGGCGATCTTACTTTTTATTTTATTAGGCGAATATCTTAAAGACATTTAGACAAATACAAAAAAAGAAAAAAAATTCTAATTTAAGGTATGCCCGCCTTGTTGCAATTCCGAATTCACTTGGCTACCCAGATAATGCCTAAGTGTGATCTGTTGCAGCAGCATAATTTTTCTTCTGAAACTAGATACATAACTAATATGTTTGCCTAGTCTCGATCAAAAGAAGGTTACTACCAGCCTGTATCAAGACTACTCTAGTTAGACTATTCTATCCTTAATTCTAAATACTATTCTAAAAAAAAAGATAGAATATAATCTAACTAACGTGAGAAAAATATAAAAATTGTATAAAATCTAAGTGGCAACAATCTATACTGAATATCTAGACTATAAAAAAAACTTACTATAGGTTAAAACAAACTAGACTAGATATATAAAACAAAATAAAAAAAAATAGAAAAAGAAAAAAGAAAAATGAGAAAATAAGGTAGTATACTATACTACTCCCAATATAGCTCAGATAAAAATTGTATATAGCTACTCTCCTATATTTTTCGTTATAACTTAAAAAAGGTCTAATTTGCACTTAGAGGAGTTTACTTCAGAACATAATCCAAATAGCTATTCATATAGAATTCTTCTAACATGTGCTTCAGCTAATATGTGTTTGTTTACATATATCTGATGTAAGTAGGCTAATTCCTAATATAGTTTGTCGATCAGTAGATCTTTTGAAGAGGAGTAGCTGATTTCCTCAATTTGCCTCAAAAAATAACAAAGCTGGTAAAAGAGAAAGTCCAAAAGATATGTTTAGTAAAACCTTGCTTGTAGAGTATATTGTAATGACTGTAAGATTATATTACTTTGGAGGAACATAATAATAGAGCAAGTATATGTTTGTTTTTCATAACTAAACAAAAATACTTGACAAAAGCTCCTGGCAGTACCACTTCTATTCAAAAGTTTCTAGACATATAATATGAGCCACAACCTTAAGACAATATTTTTCAAAAGCTATAAGCTGAACATTTTAATTCTACTGTATTACTAGAAGGAGTTGTGTATCCTTTTGTTATATTTTCCAAATTTTTCTACAAGTTAGTATTTTCTACATGAGTTCAAGTGATCATTAGAAAGAGTCGTAGTTATTTAAGGATATTTAATAAAATCTTCTTAGCTTGATAAATTAAATTAAATTTTACTATATTTTTAAAAGGTAATAATATAAAAACTACTAGTTATATCTTATTCAGAATTGATAAACTATAAGTCTTTTTATACAATATCTTTTACAAAAGATAGTGATTTTCTTATTATCAGTTAACTTTTAATCAGAAGTAGCAAACTATTTTTATAAAAAAATAATATTTAATATAATATTCAAAATACCTTAGTTCTATTACTACAAAATAGTTAAGTATGAGTATTATCTAATATATAAGTTTATAATATTATATTAATATGTTTAAATTACATATTCAAAGTAAATTATTCAAAGCTTTATAAGGTATTGAAGAGTTTGATTATTATCTCTGTTTCTAAAACTCATTTTTTTTAATAACTATAGATATATAGTAATCTAAAAGTAATAAGTTTTATAGAGATTATCTATTATATTAGAAATAAAAAATTTTAAAATATTTTTGTTTATATAACATAGTATGAAAAAAATACTTTGTAGATTAATTTTATAAATCTTGTTTTAGAAGAGTATTAATACTATATATCTTGACTTAATATCTTAAATAAAGTTGTAAAGTAGATCTTTGTAATTCTAATAAATAAAATCTGTTTATAAAGTAGTAAGATATAATGATTTTAAGAATTACTGTAATAATATCTTCTCTTTTTTCTTTTAGATCATTTTTATATAAATCATTTTGAAAATATTATAATAATATTTCAAAGTAAGATATACTATAATTAAAGTTGTAGAGTAGATTTTTATAAATATATTAGTATATATTTTATCTCAATACTTCAATATTTATAAAAATATTAAGAAAATATGATAAGTAACTATAATTGTTCTTTTTTTTTCTTTTATTTCTTTTTTTTATCTAGAAAGACTTTGAGTAATTTTATAAATAGATTTAGTATCTTTTTTCTGCTAAAAAGTACTAAATATTATAGGTTATATAGCCTTCTTAATATGAGACCTCTCACAGCAAAAAGGGTGATCAGCTAATTTTGGAATTTTGTGTAAATTATATTTGAAATTTTATGATTATTATACGTGTAAATTTATAATAAATTGATAATATCTTATGACTCAGTAATTGGAATTTAATAATTTTTATATCATTAAATTCATCTTGATATGATGAATCAAATAATATAAAAATTACCAAATTTCTATTACTAAAACGCTAGATATAGTTAATTTAATTAAATGATAATTTTTATTCTAAAGTACTATATTGTAGTAGCAAATAGATAAAGATTCATTATAAGAAGTTATTTATATGAATTCTATAAAAATTTAAAAATATGTAAAATTTGACACTGCGAACAATTTACTTAATCAAAATTATTTATATATATAAAACAAAAATTTAGTTTTCGATATATCATGATTATCTTAAAAAGTTTGACAAATATTTTACAAAAGTTGAACGAAGACATTTCACAAACTACTAATCAATAAATTGATAAATTATTTTAGTCATAAACAGTATCACAATATAATAAGATATTATTACAATATAATTATTAATTTACTTATATATATACGTATCTGTTTTCACTATTGTTATATTAGTATATTGATTAAATTTTTTTAATTTGTTTTAGGTTTATTTGGTTTAGAACATGTAATTTTTCTAAAAGGTAAATCAACATACTGTGAAATTTCTTTATATAACTCCTCCTGCCTTTTTAAAGAAAGTGATTTAGTATTAATAGTTGAAGGAAGAATATTTAAATCAAAAAAAAAATATCGAATTATAGTATTTT